TAGGGTCTTATTTGTAGCCCTGGCTGGCCTGGCACTTGTTGTATAGACCAAGGCCTCAAACTCACAGAGATCCACCTGTCTCTGCCTCTTGGTTAAAGGTGTGGACCACACATCCAGCAACATAGCCTTTCAAGGAGGATATTTATATATAATTCAACCCTAATATCATAAGGGACTTTTTTACTGCACCAAAGGCTGTTTAAAGTAATAGCCACCTTAGGTTGCCCAGAGCCTCGGTGGTTGCTCAGACCTGGTGCCTTAACCCCCTACAAACCTGGCAGACCACTTCCAGGTCAGCCGGTGCCTAGACCCAGAGGCCCCTAGGCTAGGAGAGGACACACCTGATAAGACTGTCTAAGGGTGGGTGCAGAGGGATGGTGTCTTCACCGCCTTCAGGCATTCCCTAACTCTTCAGAACTCAAGCAGCAAAGGTAGCCGTCAGTACAGGCAATGAAGCTCTCCCTTCTTAGACTGTGACATGCCTGAATCATTTTACTTTTTTTTGTTTTAGTATTTGTTTTTATTTTATGTGTATGACTGTGTTGCCTCCATGTATTTAAGTGCACACATGTTGTGCATTGCCACGGAGATCAGAAGAGGGCTTCAGATTCCCCTGGAACTGGAGTTAAAGACAGTTCATAGCTGCCATGTGGGTACTGGGAATCAAACCCGGGTCCTCTGCAAGAACAATCAGGGCTCTTAACCACTGAGCCATCTCTCCAGCCCCTTCTCTTTTATTTGTGGTGTTAGGCATTGAACCCAGGGCCATGCATTGCCATGAAGATCAGAAGAGGGCTTCAGATTCCCCTGGAACTGGAGTTAAAGACAGTTCATAGCTGCCATGTGGGTGCTGGGAATCAAACCCAGGTCCTCTGCAAGAACAATCAGGGCTCTTAACCACTGAGCCATCTCTCCAGCCCCTTCTCTTTTATTTGTGGTGTTAGGCATTGAACCCAGGGCCATCTGCTGTCAACCTCAGGCTTCCACACATGCATGTATGGGCATATGGATATCCCCGTACACATGAACATACCGTATACACAGTAAATAACATGTTTCAAGCATGAACTTATTTTATAAAAGTATCCCCTGGGAATACTCTGATTAGTGGCACCTCAAAGAATGTAGGTATTTGTAAGATAGTTGACTACCAGGAATTTTAGCTTCCAAATGAATGGCGTGAAAGGCAGTAGCTTCTACAGTGATTTTTGTTGTTGTTGTTGTTAAAATTTTTGGTTTTTGAGATGAGGTCTGTGTTCTACAACAAGCTTTATGTAGCAGGCTGGCCCTAAGCTTGCTACATAGCATAAGATGACCTAACTTGTGATCTCCTACCTCCCCAGTGCTAGGATTACAGGTCTGTGCCCAGCTTTGTTTTTAAAAGGAGGAGTTTGAGAGTTGTCTGTTTTTTTTTTTTTCTTTCAGTAGACAGTGATGCGTAGGGTAGGGAAATAGTAGATTCAGAGTGTTATTCTCACTTGGAAGTAAAACAAAGTCAGAAATTTAAGACTGACAAGAGAAGGAAGATGAGTGAGACTTGTAGTCTTACAGGAAAGGAACTAGAGGGGGAAGAAGGGGGTGATGTGAATTTGATGTTTTTATTTACATACTTATTTCCATTAAATATAGGCCATACAAGAATTAATGAAAATCCATGGACAAGATCCTGTTTCATTTCAAGATGTCAAGGTTATTTTATTTTCCTTTATTGGTATGTGTTACTAGATAATATAACTATAATAATACTAAATAACTTGTACTATATCCAGTTTAATATGAAAGCAACTTAGGAACTATGAAACACTGTTCCTAATCAGATAACTGCTATTACTTGTTCTGAGCTGATATCTAAAATCAGTAGAAACAGAGACATATTTAAACTTAGTGATTTATGTAGTTTATAATTTAGTATTTCAGTCTTGTGTTCTGATTGGAAACACTGATTTATTTAAAGACAGTCACTTTAGCCTGTATCCTTTGGCACTCTTTTTTACTGTAAACATTTAATTGAACTGCAGAACTGTTTAGATTCAAGCACTCTCTTTTTTTTTTAAGAACATCAGTCCTTCAAGCTTATACCTCAGTTAAAATTGGCCAGAGTATTTTATTAGGTTACTCAACTTGAACCAAACAGATACTGGGTACTGAATGTTTTCTTATACATGGATAGACTGGTTACTGATATTCCCAAGTAGTAGCATGTGTTTCAAATAATGGTGGTTTTATATAGATTTTTATTTATGTGTACTTATGTCTGTTAGGCTAAGTGTATGCCATGTGTGTATGAATGCCCACAGAGGCCAGGAGAGAGTGCCAAATTGCCTGGAGCTGGAGTACCAGGCAGTTGTGTGTTACCCAAATTGGATACTGGGAATGTAACTCAGGTTCTCTGAAGAGCAGTTTTCAGTTGGGTACCATCTCTCTATCCCCCAAATAGTGGTTTTCATATGGAAGGACACAT